TACAGTTACTGCCGCTGTGCACAAAAGCAGGGGCGGACCATCCATGAGGAAAGCGTATGTAACTGCCTGGGGCCCCCAATAAACTATGGGGCCCCCTGAAGACAGAATTGCCAGAAATTACATTTCTGGTTACAAGATAATATGATCATTTAAACTATATAAACATGCATGATATTTGCATTTTTAGCGGGTTCATTGTAGACAAAGTTGCCCCCCACTCCTGCTGTAATAGACTATTCCGACTTTGAGATTTCATGCTACACAGTTCTTTTTCACACTGTCTAGTGATAGGCACAAACGGCGCGAAGATACAAGGTGTCTTGGACACGGTCCTGCTAGAATGGTAGACATATTGTGAAAAGGCGTGGAGAGAATACAGTTAAACAAAAGTATGCAAAAGTTCAAGACCAACCTTAGCCTCAGGGGCGGGTTAGGCATGGGCTATCCAAGGCCACAGCCTAGGGCCACAGAAAATGATGGAACAATAAATCTTCTCAGATTTGGCTGATAATTCCGCTGGTGCTCTACCCCTTTCGTACAGCAAATTTTAACCACCCTCACCCAGATCGGTAAGTTCTACCACTGTCATGTCACGCTTTGATTAGCATGTTATTGACGTTCCGTCGTTTTTAATACCATCTCGTTTCTCGTTCGGCTCCAAAAAATAGCTCAATGGTCCACTTAGGGGGGCCCCTACCCATGTCAGCCTAGGGTCCCCAGAGAAGTTACTCTGTCCCCTGTGTAAATGACATGAATATAAAACACAATAAGGTACCAAGCCTGTTATAATGTAATATTCAGCAGCACCTTTCAGCTGTTGAATATTGAAATGTATTAGCTAATAGGCAGAACAAAAAAATCGCAGAATGAAGCCGGTTCGCCTTTAGAGAGAGCAATTTGGCCAGCAGAGGGCACTCAAATCAAACGGGCACAGTTCAGTCCTACTTGATGCATGTGAAAGTCCGATACTGCCTTACTGCCTGTCTGTACTGAACTGCATCGTACTGTAACGGTACAGAATGAAACAGGACAATGACACTCCTAGCCTATGATGCTAGTGTTAAATGTAAATTATCTTTTAGTGCTATCCTTACTGAAAATGTGGATGGAAGCCATGTATAATCAAGTTGTTTTTCAGTCTTTTAAACTTATTAAAAATAGCATCTAATACTATTTCTGGAAATATGAAATCTTAAAGGTATTAACAATAATATGTAATGTAAACATCTGTGACAGTGGATATCTTTCAAGTGGATTTATTATGACAGCTGTCGCTTTATATTTCATTTGAATTATTTTAGACTTTCAGTTTTATACCATCCTTAATGTACAAAAAAATGCACTTAGGGTTAGAGGCCATGATTTAATGATAATAACAGCAACCATCGCCTAGTTTTTAGCATGTCATGCGATGCAAGATCATTTATTTATGCACCCCAACATTATACTAGATAATTGTACGATGAGCTAGAGAAAGCCAAACTGACCTGAGATCAGACACCATGCGTGGATCCGCACTGACTAATCGATACGTGTGTGTACTGGCACAGCAGAAATTAAGACATCGACCTGGTGGATCTGGAGCTCTTCCACGTGAAGGTTTTGTAGACAGAGGCATCTGGGTATCTAGAGCCCAGCTTGAGCTCAAGTCAAATGTTGACCAAATGGATCAGGAACCAGAGGGATGTGCAGCATGTCTGGGGGCCAGTGCTGGCTTCCAGGCAAGCAAGGAGGCAAATGTCGCCGAACAATATGGCTGCCACACGGGCGACGACTGAGCAAGCCAGTGAAGCCAGGACTGGGAGCTTGTGATTCGCCGATGTTTCCCAGTGAACTGCAGGCCGTTACGTGAGAGGAAAATGGCTTCTGTGGGAGAATCAAAGTAACGTTCCATCATCATTATTATTGTTTTGCTTAGATGAAGCTCCTGACAAAATTTTACACATCTAAAAAGAAATACTACTATTGAGGACAGCCAAGTCAAGGCACTCTAGTTGTGGGTTCAACAGCGAGACCTCTCTCTCTCTTTTTTTTAGTTCTGTGGTCATGTACTTTAAAAACCAAGCAGAAGAACAGTGAACTCAAGCATGTGTAAACATGTTTATATAACCACAGGGAAAATGCTTTCCACAGGTGCCGCTAGATGTTAAACAGATAAACCAATATCACTTGTGAAGACTGAAGTGCGTGGAAAGTTGTTGCATCCCAAGGCTCATTTTATACGCAAAAATCATACTTTCGTTAGAGAATAACATCACCTTTGTTTTGCAGCTGTGAACGATTTCATATTTGGGCCGCTTTCCCAATCAGCAGCAAAAAAAAAAAAAGGCAAACTGTTATTTTTATGAATTTATTGTATCAATCTGAATGCTGAGACACATGAGAATAAAAGCAGAGACCCCTGAGGTCTGCAGGTAGGCATGACTGCCCAACTATCTATCCATCCATCCATCTTCCACACTTGCCTGCCCTGTGCAGGCTTGCCGGGATCCAGAGCCTATCGCAGAAGCTATGGACGCAACACAGGGAATAACCCAGGATGGGGCACCAATCCATCACAGGGCACACACACCATTCACATACATTCATACCAACCCTTATGTCAAATATTTATATCTAGCAAAGGAAAAGGAAGAATGTCTAGTTTTGAATCTGTAGCTCAGGCAAAAAAAAAAAAATGAGAAAAAACACTAACATGCTTCATAGATGGATCCAGCTTACAGTCCAGATCTCTCCAGTTCCAGGTCATTAAAAACACAGCATCAGTCTACGATTATGTATAATTGGCTGGAACATCAGTAGTCTTGTGCTATAAATAACACAATAGATATATTTTGAATACACTGCTTGTTCTAACTTCAGAGACATTCTGTCTTTTTTCAGTGAATGGAAATGCAGCAAGAAACGTGACCTTCTGAGTTAGTTGCTTCATGAATCTTTCACATGGAAGCATAAACTCCTCCTGAAGCTCTCCGTAACTCAGACAGCCTTATGTCCTGAGTTTCTCATATATTTGTACAGGTATTTTGTCTCTGGATGACATAACATTATTTTTAGTCTGTTACTGAACCATTTTGTCAAATATAGTTTTTTTTAAATGTTTTCTATCAGAAACTAAATCTGTTACTTCAATTCAACATAACATTACTTTTAGTTTGTTACTGAACCATTTTGTCAGATGTAGTGTTTTTTGCTTTTTTTTTTCCCAAGTTATCTATCGGAAGTGTAACCTGTTACTTCAATTGTTCCAAATTCTTTTGCAGTCCAGAGTCATGGGTGAAACCTGTTGCAGTTCACTTGAAAGATCCATCTTATAATACACTATAATTCTTATGCATATTCACAGACATGTCCACAAGCACACTGTAAGCTATACATATGCATTTCTATACTGTTTTATGTAGATTGGTATGCTCAGGACGTGGTACCACATGACCTTGCGGTAGACACAGTTTATATATATATATATATACATATTATATAATGCACTATATGGAGTGTGAGTGCATAGAAACAGTGCACTAGAGGTGTGCAGGCAGAGAGCAATGACGGCCATGTTTGCTTTGTACACAGAGATGGGACTCAGACACAGACATAATCTTGTCTTGCTGTCTGTAGGATTGTTTTAAGAAGCAGTTCTTACTGGATGATTAATTCTGCTCGTAATACAAAGTATTATCAGAAGGCCGGCCACAAAAGGGACAGAGTGTTGTAATTCCTGATGCCATGATTCCTTATTTTTCTGCACAGGGTATGGAATCATCAAGGGGCATTTTACACTCTGAGATTTTGCATAATAAAGCAGAAGAAGTGAATATATATACATATGCATATTCATACACACACACACACACACACACACACACATATATATATATATATATATATATATATATATACATACATACATAGACATATATGCATATATATACAGACATACATATGAAATCTCTGCTGGTTCTGCTTTCAGATGCTAAAATACTTTGTATCATTATTGTATCCATAGTAAATCATAGTAGCAGTAGTACTGTAGTTATTCTTGCAAATTAATCAGTGTGAGAAAACTGGCATTGCATGTACTTAATTTTATTATTATTGTCCATCAATACATTCTTTATTTAGTGAGTCCTCCATTGGTGCTGAATTATCCTCCCAAATGCGTACTCCACAGGCCAGGACGCCCCCCCCCCCCCCCCCAGGCCTCTCCACGCAGCCTTATTTCTGCTGTAGGACACTGAAGGACGCTGCCGATTCAATCCAACTCTTGTATATTCCCTGGAAACCAATCAGGGGGAGCTGAGAATAATGATTCCCATCTACTTCCATGATTCATTTTATTTTGTTCCATATTTTTGCTCTCTTTTGAGTCATGGAGAAAGACTTTAAGATGGGTTCCAGCATAAAATCAATGTTCCATTAAAATTTAATGATCAGCAATAGCTTAATAGCATTCGAACAGATGCCCCAGCAATAGTGTGCTGTGTGTTTCACTGACTCTTATGCAATAATATATTGCTGCGCGTGCGTGCGTGTCTGTGCGTGTGTGTCTGTGCGTGTGTGTGACGCTTTTGCTACTGTCATGCATCACATTGGATTCTGTCTCAGGCATGTCGACTGTGCTGCGGCAATAAACAAAAACAGTTCACAACCGGCATCTCCATATGATACCATATGGATTATGTGAGTATTTCTCTGTTACCTGTGAGCTGGGAAACTGACCACTCACTGTCCCAAAGTCTTATACGCCCTTAAACACAGCTCAGATGTAATCGCATGCAGACTGTGACAGCAACAGACAGAAACTGTAGAGAGCAATGATTCAAAACGCCTTCTATAACAAAAACCTCTTTCATCTTCTGCATGTCAAACATCAGTAACTTGGTGTTCAGAATATTTTCTTCCTTTAAAATTAAATAAAAGTACACCAATGTACATATAGCTGATCAGCCTCAGTTTTTCCAGTGTATAGTACAAAAGCTTGTCAGAATAACGACACATGGTTTGCTTGTGCTATTGTATTTTATTACCATTATTATCATCATCATCATCATTAAATGTAGCAGAAAACAGAAATCAAAACACCCTCCTGCAATCATGGCTTAAGTTTTGTCACCCTTGGCGGAAATAGAGAGAGAGATAGAGAGGATGCGACAAAGGAGGAACTGAGAGTCTATAGTTTTGGGAAACCGTATGGAAGGACACAAGCAGTCCGCCATATGCTGAAGGCTTTTGTTATGGAAATCGTACTTTTTTGGCACTTTTCATCGTTGCGCAGACGAGCTGGGCACATATACAAAGGAAAGCAGACTTTAAAAAAATAGGAGGGGAGGGGGAGAAAAGGAACAGAAGCAGAGTTCCCAGAATGCACAGAGTCACGCGACTGATGTGACCTGTTGACGGTATCGGCGGCCCGCGGGCGCTTTTTAAGCATGAGAACACGTGTCCCTGATTTGCATTGTCACCCAGACTGCAACTGGTACCTGTATATTTATTTGAATCGCAAAAATAATAATTATAATAATTTTTAAAAAAGAAACGACAAAACAAGGGAAAAGAAATTTTACATGCATCGTCATATTATTGCTGTTGTGTATATACATATATGTACAAGGCAGATTTAAAGAGGAACAACGTTTCCTGTAGAATCATCTCTGAGGCACCTGATATCAGCACTCAGAACCTAAACACGCAACAGGTTTTGATCGGTTCTTGTTTAAAAAAATCTCATTTTATCCTCCATTTCTGCTGTTGAAGTGTTTTTGCCCGTCCGCTATAAAAACAATCCTTTTTGTAAAATACAGGCCTCTTATGTATTGCTTTTTTAAAAGAAGATGCACGTATACATTTACATCCTCCTTAATAAAAATGAGAGACTGAAGCAAGTCTGGACATTTTTCGAAGTATATTGATATCAGTACGTTTAACACATTTTGGTTTTGTACATCTGGGAAGCACAGCTCAAGTATCTGTCCGTTTTTAAACAGTAGTTTAGGTTTCTCTGAATTATTTAACGGGTGCGTTTTAAAGGATGTGTTTCACTGTGATCCACGTTTTAAAAAGCACACTGTCCAAGCTCTCATATCGATTCGGATTAACTAATCCGCTCTGAAATTCGATTCGTTTTACAAAACCAGATTTTTTTCCTAACCGAGCACCTGGCTACGACGGATCACTAGCCGACAATGAAAGTAGAGTTAAACGGAGGAGGTCATAGATTCGTGGTGATGGGGAGGAATGGGGCGGCGGCTCATAAGCATTCCCGGCGGATTTGGGAAGCCATTAGCGGGATTGTGTCATCTATTAGAATATGCAACGAGCTGACGGTGCATTTGCCCGCCGCCACTCGACCTTCTCTTGGAGGTCGCCGGCTCACTCAATTACTCTCCGTCCGCGGTTAGTCCTCCAGAAACGCCGACACCTTCCCCGCCTCCTCCTGTCACTGCATGCCTGCTTCGCGGTGCGTCCACGTCATCCGGCCGTGCATTGAAATCATGTTGCCCAATATTCGCCTACGTCTAAGGATTTTCGCGTGTAATCTAAAAGGATCATTACTCAAGGGCATTCATTCCAGCTGCCGTATCATCAGTATGAAATACAAGAAGGTTTTGTTCATTTTAGGTGAAATTAAACACAACCACACATAGGCCTAACTGCTTTATAAATTCTGACCACTGGTCAGCAAACCGTAGAAATGTAATTATTTTGTGTGATTGAAATGTTTGGTTGAATATGTAATATTGAAACAGCATTAAATTAACGAATTATTTAAGAATGACAGTTATTTAACGTATAATTGCTACACGGCTGCAATTTATCCTCCCTTTCGATGAATGAATGAATCAGTCCATCACATAAGCAGTTATAGTCACATTTTGTCAATATTTTCGTAGACAGGCAAGTTAAATTTTCAGTAAACAATCCAGATAAACGTTTCCATCGGATAGGTCTAGCTAGAAGCTTGTTTTTTCATTAATTTCCTTCATTTTCAGCCTCTTCTTCACTAAGCTGATCGACTGCAGTCTTCCCGCCACCAGCAGCCCGGATTAGCGGGCTCAGCACCGCTTGTTCTGTGTTAAAATGTAGGTACCTTAAGCAGAAATACCCGAGCTCACGGCTGAAGTGGCTCTAGTGGAAAGTGTGTTATCGAGTCGACAATCTACATCCCCCGACTGAATAATTAATTCCCTGAGTTGCCCAAAGGATTCGTTTAATTTTTAAACTTGTTTTCTGACTGCGAGAGTGCAAGCAGCTACATCGTGTAATTGTTTTTCTCAGCAATCTGTGATGTGGTAGCCTGTGCATCGGGACGAAGCTACATTTTCAATTTAATTGGCGAAAAATTCATATTATATCCTTGCATAATCCATTGAAACACCGACTATAACTATTGCCTGTCCGCGGACCACCTTTTCCGTTCGCCAAGCCCTTCGATCTATGCAGGTTCAAGTGATTTTACTACATTACTACGTTTTTCTTAAAGGCGATTCGGCATGTAAAGGAAGCACTTTAAGTTAACTGGCGATTATTCAATTTTTTGTGTTTTCATACAGATTTATAACTTGCATCCTATTGGATTACTTAATGAGAAACGAGAACCATTGCTATTTTCTGAAGTTTAACATTCATGCCTTCCTTTAAATAAAATTCATAATTCAAAATAAAATATGAAAATGGTATCAGGCCTGAATTTAGAACACCACAACAGACCCACGCAGTCATTACACAACCAGATACCACCCCGGTTATTGCACTTGTAATTATTGCGTAATTAGTAAAGCGTGAATGGAAAGGTTTGATTAGTCGTTTATTCTGAACGCTAACCAATCTGTTTGGGGGGAAACAACAGGATGGAGGATTCTTCTCTTATATTTTCGTTTTCATTTGCAATTTATTGCCCGCTAACGTCTGCAAAACAGGACAAGAGTGATTTTACAAATCAGTCCCCGCACCAATGAACTTATTGCCCATGAAACAAATACAATTTCGTCAATTTTCATCCGAGTACTATGACATTGTACATTGTTCCTCTTTAATACTAAAAGTCCTATGGACTCTCTACAGTTTGTCATGCATATAAACAATATTCTTTGAAGATCAGCAGCATCTTACAAGGTCATTTTGTTCAATGGCAATACATAATACACATATAAATATATAAACGGACAAATAAATAAATAATCGAATAAATAAACAAATAAATAGATAAATAAATAAATAAATAACATGCTACACAAATGATGTTATTCATAAAAGATGGCGAGCGCTTTCAGCTACTTAAACGTGACAAACCTATATAGAAGCATATGCTTTGTAACTGAGGGTCCACTCGAAAAGTAAACGATGAGGTAATGCAGGGGGTTGGGGAAAAGTGCCCCGATCGATGGGATCGGGACGCCGGCTCTGTGCTGAAGACCCGAGGGAACCACAGCATTAAAACACTTAAACAGGAAGATCTGAAGAGGTTTACACGACGGAAAGAGTCGCCAACTTGCTATTCAGCTGTTTCAACGGCGTTTTCTTGTTTTGCTTTGGCGCTTATAGATATTGCTTCAGTATATCGTTATGCAATTATTACTATGCAATATGCTTATTGGTTATTCGCAGCTCTTTAACATCGACAGAAGTGTTTCAAATGACTAGCGTTACATTTCTCTCTTACTAGCCGATTGTATGCACTCAAATTGCTTGGATTGTTGCTCCTGGGGACACAATGAACCTGGGAAAAAGCTATTTGACATTATTTGATTCTTACACGGATATCCAATTCTTCAAACCACACAGTCATTCTGAATAATCTAGAGTCGTATTTTAACCATGTCCAAGCGTCCACTTCCCGGGACGCTGATTTTGTTCAAAATTAAGACTTAAAATGAAATCCTTCGAAACCCGCAGTTACAAAGATTCAGATTTTTGACACGAAATCAGGGTATGATTGGCACAATAAATAAATAATACTCAGAAATGGTAATTATAAAGACAATAGAAAAAATAATACTCATTGAATTAAATATTTGTGTGACACAAAGTATTAGTCTTAGCGTTAAATGGCCTTTTCTTTCTTTTTTGCAAATACTGTCAGTCCGATATTCACATTTTCTAAAAAAGATTTTTTTGTTGGCTGTTGCAAAAGAATTCAATTCTTAGCAAAAAAAAAAGCAGCATAAAAATACAAGAGGTCAATTTTTTTTGTTCTAGAAAAGAAAAAAAAAACACTGGCTGTCCTTTACGTATATTTTTTTTCAATTTTCTCCACATTATTTGCTATAAAATATCAGGAATCTAAATATTATTAGTATTATTATTAATATTATAGTAATTGATAAAAATTCACATGCGAGGCCTCATAAATAATTACGTGTTTGCGTGTGTGTTTGTATGTGTGCACGTGTGTGCGCGTGCGCACGCGTTTTGTGCGCGTGTGTAGGTGTGTGTGGGTGTGTAGCAGTTGTTCCAAAAAAATCCAGCATCTTTTGTCATCTTTGTTCATATTCTTATTACTGTTTTTTTTTGTCAACTTAATCTCAGTGAAAATATTGCTTTCTAAAAAAGTAGAGAGGGGAAGAATAAAAGGCATGGAGGATAGAGAGAGAAGGAGAGGACAGAGAGGAGAGACAGGGATTTCGCTCGTTCCCCCGGCTAGTTCTCGGAGCCGGAGTCGTCTTCGTCCGCCGAGCCCTTGAAGCAGGCTGACTCGTAGTGCTTGTTCAGGTAGGACTTGAGCGCGAAGGTCTTATTGCAGCGCTTGCAGCGGTAGTGCTTGAAAGCAGAGTGCGTCTGCATGTGAGCACGGAGGTTGGAGCGGTCGGCGAAGGCCTTGCCGCAGTGGGCGCAGGCGAAAGGCTTTTCGCCTGTGTGGGATCGCATGTGGCCCTGCAACAGCCAGGGTCGACTGAAGGCCTTGCTGCACACGCCGCACTTGTGCTTCAGGTCGTGGGTGAGGATGTGCATGGCCAACGCCGGCATGGACACGTACACCTTGCTACAGGTGGGACACTTGCGTGCCATCTTGCTGTCAAGGCTGCGGTGGGTCTGCTTGTGCCGGCTCAGGTTGGATGAGGTGGCATACGTCTTGCCGCACTCGTTGCACGTGTGCCGTGCCGTCCCGCTGCTCGCACCTGTATCCCGGGCCTCGCTGGTGCTCCCTAGGCTTCGCCCACCTCCCCCGCGGGCCTCGCCGTCTCCCTTCCTCCGCGAGCGTCCGTCTGAGATGAAGAAGGCGTCCATGGTGTAGCCCTCAGTTAGGGCCTCGGCCTCCCCGCTCAGGAAGCCGCTGCCTGTCATGCCCGACTGCGGGCTGTCCGGATGCTCCATGTCGTGGTCGCAGTACTCCTCCCCCCCACCACCGCCGCTCACCTGAGTGTAGATGGGCTCTGAGACAGCTGAGGCCAGCTTGAGCTCCATCTTCTTCTCGCTCTGGTACACAGCAGGTGTGATGTAGTCCTGGATGTAGCCTGGAATGTGGGGGAACAAAAAGAGTGGGAGTGAGCCAATGGAGATCTGTTCCGAATGCACCGCAAAGTGATGCATTTTTGTCTTAATCAAAGCCGGGATTCATTTATAACTCAGGCCTGGACTGGGTCGGTAAGGTGCCATGCTTCTCTGAAGCTGTTTTGAAGATTACCCATAATCCTCCTGTTTGTGTCTGTCTGTCATGCTCACGCACACCTCAGTGCTCTGCGACAGGTGTCTGCCTTCTCAGTTTGATTAGCGCCTGCATTTTAAAAATGCGAGAAAAACGGCGCGGGGTCATTCACATCGTCTGCTCCAGTCGCACGGGAGACGCGTGGGACGAAAATGGGTGAAGGAGGGTGCTGTCTTAATTAAGAGAGATCCATCACCCCCCCCCCATACTTTGGATTGATTTGTCCGACAGCCCCTGATTAGATTTTCACAGGAAAATATGCGAGCAGTGGCTGGAACCTGTTACGCCCACACAGCAGAGCACCGTCTGCCCCGTCGATACACGTGCAGCCATCCGGGTACCCTACATGTTAAACGGCACAGACATCAGAGCCTCAGACTGCATTACACTCATTTTGATATGTCTCTCTTCTCCTCAGACATTGTAAAAAAAAAAAAAAAAAAACCATCAATGCAGAAAACAGATCAGGGATCCCTAGGAGTAGTTTCTGGGCAGGGCGGCCCCCCGTGAGTAGTGATAATGATTAGACAGCACTTAAGGGAACCGGTCGAAGCCTTTTTACATCACGGCCCCCGGATGAAGACGCGTCAGATTTCCAGAAGATTTCCAAAACGTCGTGGTCAGAGGCCTTCTTAGAATATTGTGGAGCAATTAATGGTGGGGTTGGGGGGGGAGCTTGAGGCTCACTAAATAGCAGACATAGGATTTGCGTGAGAGTTGTTAGTGCACAAAGCCCAACAGATACATAACACCGGTAATACCTGCTGCGTCGAACAGGTAAATGTGCTTTCTGGTAAGACAAAGCTCAGCTGAACCACAATTTTGCAATTAGCTGAAAGTCTGTTAATTCAAAATTCCGACATTTCACTTTGGGGGGGGCGTCCAGGACTCCAGCGCCATAACGTGTCAACATACGCATTTTACGCCGATCACGTCAATGTCCTGACATCTAAAACTCCAAGCCCGTTCCTTGTACCCTGAATCGGGACAATCTCTTCTCAGCGTCTCCTGAATGTCACAGGGTGTTGAGATGCCGCAAGCCACAATTGTCCGGCTTTCCATGCATCAGCAGATGTGTGCCGTTGCTATTTATAGCCAATAACTGTCAGTCATGTTATGTAATACTAAAAAAAATAATCTACTTAGTATGAAACTGTGACATATCTGACCTGTTGCTATGGCTAGTGTAAGTTAGATGTTCCTGTCTAAGACAAACCTATATTAAGAATAGCCTTGCTGGAAAAATGTATGTATATATCTTTGTTGTTATGCCACTAGTATACAGAGGAAAATATATAGCATTTAAAACTGTATCTTTTTTTTTTTGTTCACTGCTCACTGCAAACACCGAGTACTTGATAAAGAATTATGTCACCTGAAGTCTCAGTCATGTCTAAAATTTCCTGTGCTGATATGGTAATTAAAAATGGTGACTTTTATGAACTGCAGAACAAAATGCGGGGAAAATGCAGGCAATGTGGGTGCTGGGTACCATGGGGGGGGCAGTGTCTTGTGATTAAATTCGCGAGCGTCCATGAATTGTTTTTTTTTCTTTTGTCTGAGTCTGATTTTTCCCACCTTCTAGCCAGGGTGCAGGAACGACGTAAAGAGTCGTCAGCTAACTTGAGGATAAAATTACAGAGAGTGTCAGAGTCTGCCAAAAACAGCAAGTGCTCTCATCTGAAAAAAATATTAAGCAACCCCTAAGGAAATCACCGACATAATAGATTCACACTGGGCTGGATGAAAATATTCCCGTGTTTAAGCGTTATATGTTATCCACGTTTTGTCACCGTTGAAAAATATGAAAGAAAAATCTGCAAGGAATGTACAATTTGAAGATTCTCTACTGTAAGGGGCAGTTAAACTTTGAGAAACAGGCCCTGCTGACCGACGACTTATTTTAATTGAAATTTTGCACCTCTGAAGTCATTGACTGAAAAAGGGAATCTGCTCTCACAATGGAAGCAGAAATATTATTGACCAAAATTCTGAGGTGATACTTGATTATTTTATTGTGCTTCTGTCTACATGATGAATTTAAATCAATAAACTTTTTACCAAAACCTAACTCTTACTAAGGACTGGAACTCTAAAATTTCAGTTAATTGTTTGTTTATACATTTTTAGCTACTTGATTGCGTATTGACTGCTCCACACTCACGGTAAATACAGTTCCTGGCGGGATTTAATTTGTTTGTTAATTCTTTAAAGGATTAAGCCATGATGCAGCAGCTGAATTTCTATGAAAAAGTGAAAGAGCAGCTTGATGGGAGCATTTCAGCGGTGAGGACACTTTGAGAGTCCACTGTGCCGCTCGACACCCCCATTTGATTCCTGGTTGCGTCGTGTCTTGCATTGGCTCAAAAGGTCTTTGCTGAATCTGGTGAGAAATAAATCTGGCCACAGTTTCGCTTCGCGGAACATTCCGGCGGAGCCGCGGACGGTGTGACAGCAGAAACAGAGCCCTTTCGGGGGGCGCCGCACGCGGCAAGAGGCGGTAATTAAGTATCGATGGCTTTTTAATGAAATTCAAAGTTTTGCACCGATCAATAGGCCATGGGCCGTGAAATAGTGCTACTGTTTTCATGGACCATGGGGAAAGCAGTTTTTTTTTTTGGGGGGGGGGGGGGGAGCTTAGGGGGTGGGATGTCAGGGGAGGAATTTTGCATTTACGTGGGTGCCGCATGATGACACTGGGTGGTGGTGGGGGGGCAAAAAAGCAACATCGGAAGGGAAAGTGAAAAAGCTAAGCCTTAAAGATTCAGCATTGTTCTTTTGGGGGGAGGGGGGGTGGTATTGGGAGGGGCTTAAGCGTGATCCGCCTGCCAAGGCAAGCCTGCTGAAGAGGCTTAAAGAACTGGGTCATTAGACAAGCAATTAAAGTATTCCTAATGTACCCCTCCTTCCCCTCTGCAGCTTACAGACCAGCTCAGCTCAGTAGTAAAGCGCTAAAGGTGGTAACGTCAACCGCGAGTTCGCCATGGTGAGGGATCCGTGGGGCCGTGTCGCCTGTTGACTGTCTGCCTGCGGCGGGGTTCTGTCTATGACATCTGCGAGACTACGTGAGGCTCCGCCCCCCCACTGAGACTGGCTCTGTGACAGGCGAGCAGGATGCAAATAGATGCACTCGCTAAAAACCGCGCATTTTCTTAATAACTGCACCTAAAATTATATCGCTCAGATTGCGGGAATACAGACGATGACCTCTGCATATCTGCTGTTCTTTTATTTGCCTTCATAGCTGTTTTACGGAATGGAGCAAAACCATAGGAGAAAAGTGTTATTCCGGAAAACATGTACCGTGCATTGAAATAATATTTGCTAGTAAAAATAACTATTCGTAATGAAATAGGTGAATATTTTCAACCCAGAGTAACACATACTACTAGAGACCAAGGATATATATTTGAGATTACTGTTATTACGTTAAAAGTAGTAATATAATGTTTTTCTGGTTAAATATTTTTCTGCGTAATGGTATAAAATCTCCCTGCTGAATGAGATCTAGGCTCAGACGTTTGAAGGCCTACGTTGATGTAACAAGTGTCATTCACCGATCAGCAAGGTCAGACAAAGACTCTATTGTTACTCTCCACCTCGTCCCTCTCCCCCTGGTCCCCGGAGTCGCGGCTTGGTGACCTCGGCGCTTTTTTAAACCCAGCCCATCAATGTTAGAGGATCTAAACGCCCTTGTCTTGGAAGCAGTCCACGGCCTGCCCCCCCTCGTTATCCGGCGGGGGCGTGCGGACAATCGAGTGGTGCCAGAGAGAGAGAGAGAGAGAGAGAGAGAGAGAGAGAGAGAGATGTTTACACATGCCAGTAATGCTGAGGCAGTGGATTTCCTTCTTGGTTGGGTGATGGGGGGAGGGAATTAAGGGGGGGGGGGCATCAATATAATCAACAGGGCCACCGATTTTATCACCCACGGTTTGTTTACAAATAAGTTTTGCCCCTATGTTGTTTTGGTTTCCCCGAAAGACAGATCCATGCTTCCGGACGGCCGCCTATGGATGGTGATGCAGAGCGTGACGCGGGGGATGTAACGTTCTGGGACTCCAGGTTTTGTTTTTGTTGGGAAGGAGGGAACAATGGTGGCTAAAGGGGATCCCTGAAAAGCGAGACCCCAGCAGGAGGAAACTTTCCATCCCAGCTCCGCTAGTCACAGACACGTTGTCCAGGCTGTTCCTTTGTCTCCTTTTACAGAGGCGTTAAGAGTCATAGCCATCGGTCCGCAAAGACTTTTTCTTATCAAAATAACTCCATCTAATCAGGCTACTCGGGGCAAACATTCAAGAAAAAATATATATAACACAATAAATACTTCCAAATAATATAGACAATTTCTAGACAATATAAATACTGATACTCTGGTCCAGTGATGACACAATCACCCAATTCCACTATAGTTGTATTTCGCAAATGTAAAAGCGCATCGATAAAAAGCAGACCTGCGGAGAGATTTGTGGCTAATGTGATTGTATAACAGGTGGAGGGTCTCGCATTGAGCCGTGCGCTACGACGCTCCCTGTGTATCGCACACACATGCATGACAAAGGGACAGGGACATCTGGCATGCTTAGCCCTGGGACCCAACAGGCACAGAGCAGAGCTCAGGACCTGGGATTTGGGGGTCTAACCCGAAATGTTAGCTTCTGCATTTCAGGCGCTGTGGCTTTGTCCCCTTTATGGCCTGCTGACGTGTTCAGGCTGCTCAGGCTCTCAACATCCTTTGTGTTTTTCCTTTTTTGCATGAGAGGAGGCTGTGAAGGTTTTTTTCCCCTGGACCAGTGTGCAGCTATGTGGCGTTTCCTTGTGCTTACTGTAAAAGCTGGGGGTTGGG